CAACCTCGATTTGACATCGACACTGATGCGACAATGAACTACACTCTAGAGAAAAGATTGCGATAGGAGGAGAGACCAAACCAGAACCTCCCAAAGAAGGCATGTCTCTCCCTCTCTCTCCAAACACGATTCATTCACGACGGACATTCTAGCGTTGACCACTACAAGGGAAAAGGACGGAGGGACGGCCATGCTGTTTTTGAGCTCCTTTTGACCCCGCCAAGTTTCACTCACAACAACAAAAGAAAACTGAAAGCACAAGAAAAAAAGTGGCCGTCCACCACGGCGAATGCTTCACTCTTTCTAGTACTCCAACAGACCACAGGATGGGGGATGCGGATGAGCACATGCGCACACACAAACACATGAATAAACCAACGTCAACTTCACTTCCTCCACACACACACACACACACTGACGAATGAACCACAGACAACTAAGGGATCAGTCCCACTATCACTTTCTCCCCACACACACACACACACACACACAGGTTAGCCCACACTACACTGGAGATTTGTATAAATGCAGTACATAGGATAGAAAAGGAGGGAGGGAGGGAGGGGGTGTTGGGGGGGTATATAACGTCCATGTTATCAACAAAACTGGGACTAATGCTGCTTGAAAAACAAAACTGCTGCAAGTGGAACTTGTTCTCCACACAGCAAAAACAAAACAAAACAAAAAGTCATGAAAAGGCGACAAACAAAATATACAATGTCACAAATTGAGTGTGTGTGGGCGCACGCGTGTGAGTGTGTGTGTGAGAGAGAGGGGTTAGGGTTGTGAGGTGGTACGGGGAAGGCTGAGTTGGGTGAGGGATGTCTCACTTATGACTGCTCAAGCACACACAGACACACATACTCACACCCACACACACATGCTCACACCCACATGCTCACACCCACACACACATACTCACTCACACACACACACACACAGGGCTGCTAAGTACACTAAAAAGACACATTTCACTCCTTCAAAACAAAGGAATAAACCGAATACACGCTTTTGGAGGACACAATGAGTTGCTAGAGACAGGGACTAGGGTTTAGCTAGACAGACTATAGGAACATTCTGGGCAACTGGCAGCCTTAACTCATTTTCAAACAAACAGAACTTGAAACATTTCCTCCAAGTTTCTAAATATCCTCACCCAAACAGACAAGTCAACATTTCTATGGAACTCCCACAAAACTCAGGTCCAGTACAAATTTTTCTTTTAGTGGGAATAAGGATATTTGAACAACTGATCAGAGAGTTTATAGAGTGAAAGCTCGACAGCTCATTTAATTGAAAAACTCTGCACGTAAAACTGGTGGGAAAAACAGACACCCGACCGCATGTACCATGACTGTACTATACTGACCGTAACAACACATCTGAAACCACAACCTGGTCGTCTACAACCACACTGAAAAACAGCAATTTTGAATTTTTACTGTTTATTGAAAAAACCAAACAGATTCATTTTTTCCCCCCCATCCTTCAGTGATTTCAAGATATCTGCTAAGACGGGGACCTACATATTTTAGATCTACCAATCTGTGACACAAGACCTGTACGGGTTCCTTGATGGGACGGGGAAATGTGTGTGTGACTTTGTCAGTTTGTGATAAACGTGAACAAAAGAGGAACACGGAGAGATACACGGATGGATATTGCAGGGGGAAGCAACGGAAAAAAAAAAGGACAACAGAATGAGAACAAGCAAGGGGAAGAAATACAAATGCAAAAAAAACACCAAACTCAACAACCCCAGCATGTTCCAAATCAACAGCATGTCGAAATAAAAGGATGTACAAAATAAAATATAATATAAAAGTAATTTGTACGGAAGATCTTCTGGGAAAGAAAAAAAACGTGTGCGAATGCTTGAAGGAGATTGTTCTTTCCCCACAGAATTCTGTTCTATTATTAACACAGATGCCAATATGATTTTCTTGATATCATACAACAACACAGATGTAGAGCGCGCGCAGGAGGAGAACGACACACATCATTTACTGGCTCTAGTAAACAAACGGTGACAACATTTGTGCTGGGTCAGCGGTCGCTACGGGAACAGCACCAACAGACACACTGACCATCCACGCTGACAGACGCAGCCAGAGAGAGAGAGAGAGACAGAGAGAGAGAGAGAGAGAGAGAGAGAGAGAAAGAGAGAGGGAAAGTCACAAACGTCTCAAGAGCTGACCAAAGTAACGGGATGAAGAGCAATTGGAGAAATGATTCGCCGACACACCCACATATACACACATACTGATGAGCATGCACATTACATACACATTGGCATGCACGCACACATATATACAAAGGAGTGCGTGCGTTCGCCTACATGACATTTAGAAATCACCTGAATGATAATAAGCTACAATTGTTTCATGTCAATTTTTATCTTCAGTCTTCCTTCTCCCATCCTCACATACACATTCCTGTATCATTCCAGTCTTCTCACTCACTCCCTCACATACACGCACACATATGCGCGCGCGCACACACACACAGGTACCTGCTCCAAAAACATGCCGGTACAAACAGACACAAATGCAAGCGCACAAGTATATACATCTCCACAAACACATAAAAGATAAAAATGTGTCCCCCCCCCCTCCCCCCGTCAAGTTTCTCTTCCCCACTTCCATCATTGCACATGGCAGGGTAGACAATTATGCAGTCGTGTCGTAGTCGGGCACAACAAAAGTGACCACGGGTCATCTCTGTCTGTCTGGCGTGTCTTTGCAATGAGGCCGGAGCCTTGGGCTGACCGGTCAGCTTGTTTGTGATTGGACTACACGCTGGACACACACACACATACTATACACTGGACACCAACATACACACAAGAAACTCACATACACACTAAAGATACTCACAGACACACTACACACGAAACACTCGTATACATGCTGGCAGACTGTTGTATGAGATTAAAAATGGTTCTATCCGCGTTTTGTGGATGTTTCGAGTTACCGTTTGTCGCCGGTTCTACTGGCAACACACTCTACGGTGTTCCACATTTCGTTCTGAAAAGACCATTCTGCTCCGAGAGAAATATCGGCGGCAAAAATTTCATCTGTCTCTGCATTCAAATTAGAAATTCACAAACTTTCACATCCAGTATCTCAAAAGTACCTAAAATGCTGATGGAACCCTCTCTAGCTCATACAATGAAATAGTCACCCTCATACATACGAACAAACACCCACTTTACATACACACCAACAAATATCCACTCACAAACACACTGACCATTTGGGAAAGTCACAGAATCAGGTCTTTCTTTTGCAGCGGAGTCCCCTTCCAATAAACCTCCCCTTCCGATAAACCTCCCCTCCAAGTGTTGACAGTCGATTTCATTGGTTTGCCCGTTATAAAGCATTTCCCAATAACACGAAATTATATAATTTACCCTAACCAGTGCTTCCAATCTTCCATAATTCTACAAATCCATCCTCTGTGAAAGTTCCATACTTGTTCCCCACCCACTGCCCTACTAACAACTTCATCTGTAAAAAGTGCAATAGTGTTCGCCTACCAATATTTCCTAGTAAATGACAATTTCCGGACTGCATCGTCAAGACTCATGATCTTAGATTTGCCTTTTGACAAACAGCAATGACAAATTGAATTTTACTGGAAATAGCAAGGGGAACTTTCTTTTACTTTAAACATTAACAGAAGGGGAAAGATAGATTAACACTTTGTCGTCACATCGCGCAGATCGGCGATGTTTACCACCCAGTTTCTTTGGATTTTCCCCAAAATGCCTTTGCCCTTGATGGCGAGGGGAGGGTTCTCACTATATGAGCCTTGTGATGGCAAAGTGATAAAAAATCAAACATGGAAAACTCTAGGTGACAAAATATGTATCATGGGTATTTTCAATTCTCTAAAAGAGCTAAATTTACTTTCTGCGAGGGCCGTCGCCCCCTGAACCCCCACCAGGAAGCTGTCCCTGTCCCCAGCAGAAATTTCCCTAATCATTTTTCCTTTTTTCATTTGAAGCACTGCCTGCCCGACACCACAAGTGACACTTGGAGGGTTAAATCAAGATTTGTTCAAAGCCAATCTTTTTTAAACACAAAAAAAAATTTGTCAAAGACTAACTGTACACAACCCCCCCCCCCTCCCCACAACCCAAAGTATACAAATTCTGATAGGTCAGCTTATTACAAGACAACTCCACAACAAGTGATTCGTGACTTTCCCCCCTGACTTTTGGCATCATTGCAAAGAAACTTTACATTATTCTGCTTTCACCTCCTCTGACAGAAAAAAAAAGTAATGATTAAAAAAAAAATAGCATAGTTCATTACAAACAAACAAACAAACAAAAAAAGTAGAATATTTGTTTTTTCTTCAATAGAAAGAACTTAATCAACAACATGAACAGCGCGTGTGTTGTGTGTACGACGTGTGCGTGTCGCTGCTGCGTTCACCTCAGCAGCTCGCAGGAGATACCCATGAGTCAATAGACGCTCGCTTCTCTCTCCTCTCTCTCACACAACTTGTTTTATGTTTTATTTTAATAGTTTTTTTGTGGGGGGTTTTTTGGTCACCATTCCTTCCATCACTGTTTCTCCAGCGTGGTGTGAGAACAGATGTAGTAGAGTTGCACAACCAAAGGGTTCTGGTTCGAGTCTGTTGTTTTTTTGTTGACTATGTACAATGTCTGACACAGCGAAGAGGTCGGAGGTTGGAGGTCGCGGCTGAGAGGTCAGGTGATTGGTTTGAGGTCGAGGGAGGGGAACGGCGAGC